GATTCTACTTTGCATGTTGTTTCTACTTCTGAGGCAACTTCTTCTACCTCTACTAAATCTACTTCTAGTCCAAATGACTCTACTTCCAATTTTGTTGTTTTGGCTGCACATATGCAATCCGGTAGGCTTGCACCTGAAAGTGATGATCCACCTTCGAAAATCCCATCAGCAATCCGCAACCTTCTCAACCGATTTTCTGAAGTATTGGTCGAGCCGCATGGAGTTCCCGTGCGTCCGGTCCGACACAAGATCGAGTTGATAGAAGGTAGCACTCCTCCAAAAGGTTGTGTCTATCGAATGGGCTCAGGCAAATTGGAGGAGCTGCGAAGGCAGATCGATGACATGATTGGGAAGGGATAGATCAAGCCAAGCGAATCCAAATTCGGTGCACCGTGTTCTGTTTGTCCCGAAAAAAGGAGGCAAACTACGGATGTGTATCGATTACCGCGGACTGAATAGAATCACAAGAAAGAATGCATATCCTTTGCCGCATATTATGGATCTGCTTGATGCTGCAGGTGGGTGCAAGGTCTTCAGCAAGATCGATCTCAAGTCTGGCCACCACCAGATTGAAGTCGACCCCGTAGACCAGCACAAAATTGCATTCAAAACTCGCGATGGGCTGTACGAGTTTACCGTCATGCCCTTCGGCCTCACGAATGCACCAGCCACCTTTCAAAGTCTCATGGACAAGGTATTCCGCAATCAGATTAATCGGTTTGTTGTTGTTTATATGGATGACATACTAATCTTCAGCAAATCGATGGAGGAACACATGAGACACCGTGAGGAAGTGTTGCAGATCCTCAAGGATGCGCAACTCCATCTCAACTTGGAGAAATCTGAGTTTGGGAGGGACAGTGTCATCTACCTTGGACATCGGTTGTTTGCTGCAGGCCTAGAGCCCGGGGCAACCAAAGTTGAGGTCATCCACAATTGGCCCCAACCGGCCAATGTCCGCGAGTTGCGTGCTTTTCTTGGTCTTGCATCATACTATCGTAAGTTTGTACCCAAATTCTCTATCATAGCCCTTTCGCTGTCCAAATTGACAAGCAAGAATGTGTCTTACACATGGGATGGGGAATGCACAACAGCCTTCTAAGCGTTGAAGGAGGCTTTTGTGAGTCATCCGGTGCTCCGCATTGCAGATCCCAAACTTACATTCGTAGTAACTACGGATGCAAGCTTGTATGGGATTGGCGCAGTGCTGCAGCAAGATGACTGCGATGGCTTACATCCGCTTGAATATTACAGCAAGCGCATGCCCAGTCACAAGGTAGCTGCTTCCACTTACATGCGAGAGCTCTATGCCTTGAGAGAGGCACTAGATCATTGGAAACACTACCTCTTGGGTCGTCATTTCAAAGTGTTCTCAGATCACGAGACTTTGAAATGGATTCAGATACAAATTAATCCATCAACCACATTGACCCGCTGGCTGCATGAGATTGATGTGTATGATTTTGAACTTAAGCACAAGAAAGGCTGTTACAATCGCGTTGCGGATGCTTTGTCTCGCCATCCTGAGTACATGACTTACCTTGTGGGTTCCTATGATCTCCGTAAGAATTTGAAGGAGGAACTCGTTGAGCATACTGCCAAGGACGCGGAACTCGGTCCCATCCTCGAGCAGATTCGGTCTGACCCTAGCAGTCAGCCTGATTTCCATGAATGTAAGGGCTTATTTTTTCGACGTTACGGGAAGCATGACCAACTCGTTGTACCCAACCATGAGCCGATCCTTACTCACTTTTTGGACTTGGCTCGGAGTGGACACTTAGGTTTTGAGAAAACATACGGAAGTATGCTGCAAAAGTTTGTATGGCTTGGAATGAAAGGAATGGCACGAAAGTTTGTGGCTGAGTGTGAGGTCTGTCAACGCATCAAACCGTCTCGGCAAAAGCCCTATGGGCTGCTGCATCCTCTTCCTATTCCTGATGGTCCATTGACTTCACGGACATGGGAAAGAAGAGTAAGAATGGATATTCGCAAGTAATGGTGATCGTTGACGGCTTCTCAAAGTTTTTGAATCTAATCCCATTACCACCGCATGCCCCAACTGATCTTGTGATCAAGGAATTTCACAAAAAGTACATTCTGCAATATGGGCCCCCGAAAACTCTTGTGAGTGACCGGGACACTCGGTTCATAAGTGCAGATTGGAAGGACTTCACCTCCCAGACCTATGGCATGAAACTCAAGATGACGTCTAGCCGACATCCTGAAGCCAATGGACTGGCTGAGGAGATCAACCAGACTGTGATCCAACTTCTCCAAGCTTTAATTGTGCCTGATCAGAACTCTTGGGATGAGGAATTGCCAATTGTGCAAGGATTGTACAACAACTCCATACACTCTTCCATTGGGATGACACCTAACCAGCTGCACCTTGGGTGGAAGATTCGCAACCCCTTGTCTGTTTCCTGAAACGCCACCTGGGCCGACACCTGGCCAGCCAGGCTACAGCGCTAAGTTTGATCGTTTGCTCAAAGTTGCAGTCGCAGGTATGGAGAGGCGACACAGTGCTATGATTAAGCATGCAAACAAAAAGTGTCAGCCTGACCCTTTCACAGTGGGAAGTTATGTTTGGGTCAAGATGTCTGAATTTTCTGAAGAGGAAGGCGTATCAGGAAAGCTTCTTCCTCAGTACTACGGTCCGTGGAAGGTGTTGAACCGGGTAGGAAACGATTCCTTTGGTCCTTCTTACACAATCGATATGCCCCCTCACCTACGTACGTACCCAGTCTTTCATGCGTCCAAGCTGTTTCCGTATAAATCACCCGAAACTTTCAAGTACCGAGAGTCAATGATTCCTCGCGCAATCCAAGGCGGTCACGAGGTTGATAGAATTGTCGAGCACAGTAAGGGAAGGGAAGAAACAGACAGTACAAAGTCCATTTTCTGAACCACCCGTTGAATGACTTCTATTGGATCGCTAAGAAAGACTTGCTGCAGAGTGCCCTGCGAGTGGTTAAGGCATATGAATGACTGATTAGTTTTGAACGGCAGCCTAAATTCACTGCTACCCTCACTCCTACGGAACATACCCGGTCTCTCTTTGCTATTTATGCTTATGATGCACTATGCAAGGACTCTGATTGAGTTACTCGCTCGAAGGGACCTCGCTCTTGAGGGGGGGGGTAGTGTAATGACCCGCCATAACACAGACACTGAGAACACTGCTGAGTTCTGAAGTTCTGCGGATGGAATGGATGCGTTGCGAAGATTCCCGCATTCTGCTGTGTTTTCTAAGTCTGTATGTGTGCTTGCCTGTTGATTTGCGTGCCTGTCTGAGTGCTTGTCGGCATGAGTGTGTGTGTGACCCGTAAAGGTACTTGCTTCTTTGGCAGGCCCGTAGGGCCGGTACTTACCTGTGGCCGTGGCATTGAGAGTGGCAGCAGGGGAAAACACTCGAGTAGCGGAGGCAGGGGCCCCCGGCACCTGGAGCAGCGGAAAAACACTCAAGTAGCAGGTAGGCCGGTACCGCACCCAGTAGCAGCAGATGTGCCGGGTACTCGAGGCCGAGCAGAAGAAGACAAAGTTGGCATTTTTAGAGGCCCAGTAGCGGTAGGCTAGGTCTAGGCTGGTACCAGTCCATCCAGTCTGAGTCTAGAGCCTGTGCGGGCAATATCAGAGTCTGCAATGATGTTACCCTCCGAAAAGGAGGAGGTACCGGTTGCTTGGGAGGCCGAGCGGCCTGGAAGTCACCGCCCAGGAGGCAAGCAGGCCGCTATATCAGGAGGCCGAGGCAAGAGCTCGGACTCATTCTTCAGTGTGCAAGTTTGGTGACACGCTGCTGGAGCGCTGGCTGGAGTGGTGCTGGGTACTACAGCACTTCTGGGAGGAAGAAGCCGGGAGCTTCCACCTTAGCTATGGTGGAGC